AGTTTGCCCCAGAGCAAACAGCCACGCTTCTCCTCTGCAGTTTCCTGCCCGTGTGACCGGGGCCTAGGGCATACTTTCCTAGGAACAAGCTACAGTTACCAGTTTCAAGGTTCAGACTGGAGATCTACTGGAATTATAAATGCTCTCCACAATACAGAGCACTGGAGAAGATGACTGTTTTGGAGGGTGAACTCTGTGGCACTATACCATGCTGAGGTCCTCCTCACCCCAAACCCTGCCCTCCCTCGGACCCACCCTCAAATATCCAGGGATTTCTCAACCTGGAGCTGATGACCCTAAGCCCCACTCAACAGAGTGGTACTTGCTTCCAGGTAAATATTAAAGGATTGAGCTATATGTGACAACTTGGAATCAAGTTCAGGGAAATAAATGGACTTCTTTTCCGTTAACATGCTTGAGACATTTCTCCATCATCCTATTTTCTATACGAGCCTTTATACAAACATTTTTCTTTTAAGAAATATATCCTATAGTAAACTTTGAAGTCTGGTGTACAAAGTAAGTTATATTTTTATTTTCCTTATATCGCAGTTTCTTAATAGTTGTGCCAGTTTTTTCTGCTCAGTGATTTTTATTTGTATTTTATTATGCTAATAATAAGTAATATACCCTTTTCACATCTGTCTTCTTCTTTCCTGCAATCAAAATGATATTTAGATCTAAAAGTGGCAAGAGACTATTTCCTATTATGCTTACAGTGGTTTGTGATGCTAAATTACCCATATATATGCAAATAAAAGCAAATTAGCATCTAAACAGAAAGAACCTCTTTTTAAATATATGCTTGGTAATCATCAGGCCCGCTGTATGCCATTACAATAACTAATTTCAATCTTGTAAGTAAATAATGTGCTTTTACATCAAGTTATCTAATTGCCTCTTTTGCCAATACTCTGCGAGAAGTATAATATCCCTTCTCCCTATTTCCCTTGTTGTTGCTTCAGAGGAATTATTCTTTTCATTTATTTTTTTGTATTTAGGCCCAATTCATGCAAACAGAAAAGAGTGTGCTTGCCATCTGAAATACTATGGAAAGTGAAACTTCTAGGCTGTATCAGGGTGGGTATGCAGTGTAAAGGGCAGTGTAAAGTTTGTATCATTACTTGTAAGCAGAGCATTAGAAGAGTGGTTGACAACAACCCAACTTGCAGAGTCTGACCTGAAGACCTGCTAAGTGCAGATCAATCACTTCCAGCTGTGTCCAGGAACTGGTTTGATTAATGCTCTCCTGGAGCCTGATTTACTGACTTTCAGAGCATTCTAGTCTCCACTTTTAATCACCCTGTCATATTTACAATCAAGGTGGTATAACAGTGGCTTAAAAAAAAAACCAATTTCCCCCATCCTTTACTGAATGTTTATGGGAGGATATAAATGGTTATTTCCTATTCTATGTTAGGGACTGTATTTAAATTACGGGAGCAGCATGAGTACTAGTCTTCAGTGGATTCCATCCCATACCATTAGAACTGCAAATCACATCAAATCAATCAGTGTTGTTACTTCCCTTGTCAAGGTCACAGCACTTCTGGAAACAGCAAGCCTAGTGGTTATGTTGTTCTAATATTATGGAAAAGGCCTTAGTGGTTGTGAATATAGCATTACGAGAGTAATTTTTCATTAACATACAGAAACACTAAAGGCTGATGGAAAGATCTGGATGACAATTAAATATGTATGTTCCATCGGAATGGTACCCCATATGACCATATTTGCAATCCAGCTCATCATGAGGAAAGTTTGAAAAAGGGGGTGAGGGCCATCAAAATGGGCAGTTCTGAAAAGCCACCCAACTGGCAATTCAAAACTACTAACTAAAAGACTGCTTAAGTTGATCTCATTCAGATTCTAACCTTGAGTATGGCTGTGATGGATTTTATGTTATATAATGAATAACACCCACACCCTACGCTTCATTTATGCAGACTGAGCTTAGTATGGCTGTGATGGATTTTATGTTATATAATAAATAACACCCACACCCTGCGCTTCATTTATGCAAACTGAGCCTGCATCCAACCCTAGCATCCAGTGCTATTTCATGTTTACTGATTTTTGTATATCACAAAGTTGGATTCAGGACATTGTTTGTTTATTCATTTACTTAGAACATTTTCATGTTGTCTCTCCCCTACACTGAGACTCTCCTACTATGCAAAAGTTCCTGGCTTAGAAATAGACAAGTGGGAGATCTGCAATGACTTGTGGGGGCATCTCATTTCCCCCTCCCCCACTGTTTCCTCTCTCCCTTCCCTGAAAGTCCCCCCCAAAGGGGACGCTCTTTTCCTACATCCTTCTCTCCTTACCATCAGGCTGTCAGAGGGAGGGAAAGTGCTTAAGATGGGGGGGCAGCAGGTAAAGGTGGGGTGGCTGGTGCATGGGTAGTAGGGTTGGCAACCTCCAAAGAAGGCCTGGAGATCTCCCAAAATTACAACTGATCTCCAGGCTACAGAGATCCTGGAGAAAATCCTAACCCCCATATCTCCAGCAAATTCCCAAGCTGAAATTGGGGATTCAAGTCTAAGGTCACTCATAGAATCATAGAGTTGGAATGTACCTCCAGGATCATCTAGTCCAACCCCCTGCACAATGCAGGAAATTCACAAATACCGCCCTCTCCACACCCGCAGTGACCGCTGTTCCATGTCCAGAAGATGACAAAAATCCTCCAGGATTGCTTCCTGACCCTGACTCAAGGACCACCATGCCAAAATGAACTTTTGAACCTAGGTCTCCCAGATCCTAGTATGAAACTAGCCACTATTTTGTATGGTGGCTCTTTTGAGCAGTATCAAGCACCAGTTCTGGGTAGGTCATATAAGGTGGGTGGTATCAAGCCCCAATGAGTACTCCCTCAAAGGCCAAAATAGGCCAGGAAAGGACCCTGCCTTTTACCGACAGAAAGCAAGGTTTAAAGGCTGGTGATACTGTTGTTTTTGCCTAGCAATAGACACTGAGGGTATCTGTTTTTTAAAGCTACAGATACAGTTTCTATTATTGGGGGAGGTTAAGCCTCCGGTATTTTTAGATTTCAGATTTTTCTGCAAACCTGGGGCTTTTCTCAGGTTTGTAGAAAGGTCTGTCTTTAGGGTTGCCAAATGTTTTTTGGCCGGGAGCAGGGGGCTCCTGGCCGGCGTCTTAGACGGCCGCGTGCGCGTCACCCGGAAGTGACATCGCACGCTGGGGCCGGGGCCACGCCATTTGAGGGGGAAACAACTCTTTGTTTTCCCCTCAAATGGCGTGGCCCCACCCCCAGCATGCGACGTCACTTCCGGGTGACGCGAACGCGGGGGTGGGGTTTCCCCCAGGCCCCGATTCTGCAGGAGCAGAAATTGGGGCTCGAAAGCGGGGGGAATTCCGGAGTTAATTGTCTTCCCAAAATAATGACTGGTAAAAAGGCTTGAAGTTCGAGACCAATGTTTTCTGTGTTTTAGTTGTATCTGAAGAAGTGTGCTTGCACACAAAAGCTTGTACCTTGAATAAAACTTTGTTGGTCTTAAAGGTGCCACTGGACTCAAGCTTTGTTCTGCTGCTTCAGACGAACACGGCTACCCCCCTGAATCTTAGTTATACCCTGTTAGTCAATATACACTAGAGGAGCTCTGCACTCTAAAATTTACCAAAGATCCTGCCAAACTACCCCCAAATTAATCACACATCTGCCATCATTGTTAGTATGTTCTCCCACAAAAGATGTCCACCACTGATCATGTACATCGGTTTTATTCATATGAAAACAGATTGACGATGCTGTTTCTTTTATTGTACTTCAGACAGATTCACTTTATTATTCAGCCTCTACATCTCCTTTTGCTAATTTATTTGTTTGTGACATTTAAATTATATGTTCTAAACTATCCATACAGTGACTGATATTTTTTCTTTGCATGCAGTCAAATCCTTGTAACATCTTAATGCCAGCACACTGAGTTTGTTACATCACTTCTCCTACAAAATGGCCACAAGGTAAAAGTCGCACAAATAAATGTAACTCAGCAGATGACCTTTCCTTGTTGACAAAATCTGCAATGTTTTGCGACTGCACAGCTAACCAGGTCTATTTTTGTACAGCAAAGAAATAAAAGTTAAGACCTAAAAAAGTAAAGAATGTTTTCCATCATTGCACAGACTTAGGGGTTTTTAAAAAAAAAAAAAAATGAACAAAAGCTCATTGGATGTAATGTTTGGCTCATCTCAACCAACATTTGTTGCATAATTTAATGAACCAAAGCAAAGAGAATGTCACTTCTACATTGATTTTGTTAGATTTCCTAGTACAGCATGCAAAAAACTAATGGCATATCCCCAGAGTGTTATTTCTGAGGAGGTAATTTATATAACTGTTATAAAGAAATTTGAGGCCACATATATGGCGTTAATTTTAGAGACTCTAGAAGACAAGTATCTTTCCTGTTAAAGAGGTACATGATCTGTACAATACTTTACAAAGGAGTCCACAAGATGAATTTACATGGCTCATTGCTGACTGAATTGTCCATTGCTTCCTCATAGAAACTGTATTATGAAAAGGTGAGCTACCATTATGTGAATGTAGACTACTGGTTCCCTTTAGGCCCACACAGCTTCCATTTATCCCAATGCCTAGGGCTTTCAATAAATGAGATTATGCTACAAAACTGTCGTGTAAATGAGAATCATGTCAGCAAAACTCAGAAACATACTTCTTTAAACTGAAGAAGATGAACATATTCAGATGCTGTCTTCGAGACATATTCAAACGATGGGGCCTATTTTTGTGTTAAAAACATATCAATACAATAACATGCATACTCTGTAACTCTGAAAGAAATGCCTATTTTGAACAATTATATTTGCTTCCACCTTTTCAAATAGAGATCGGTTTACATTATGAACACACTGATAAATTTGTCTCTATTCGTTTCATCATCTGAAATATACCACAAACAATTTTTACCACATCCAGTTAAGCTTCTGTGTTTTTTTCATGTATAGGTCTATTATGACTTTGTTCTTTGAAAGTAATTTTTTTTTATTCCTGATCCAACCCCATTTCGAAAAGACCTTTTAATAAACGTCTTCTCCAGGAAAGGCTTTAGCAACGCCAGCTCTTCAGACCCATCCACCTTGGCTAGGCAACGGTTCAGCAGGTCAATAATCAGATTTCCCAGACAGCTGGCAATTCAAATAAAAAAGGATTATTGGTCCAAAGATTTGGGAAGAAAAATATAGACAAGGCATTAACGATATCTACATTTATGACAAGCTCAGACCCATTTAGGCTTCCAAAGACACAGATGAATTTGTATTATCTCTAGATTATAGATTTAGAATGTCAGGCTTTTATGAGGTCCATGGACATGAAAGCACAATTTACCGGTAGGACTGCTGCTATTGTAGCTGGGTTTATTCTCAGAAGTAAGCTAATATGAATGATCCTATATTGTTCTGGTTTTCCTTTTAAAAGAGGGTGTACAATTGCTGATGCCAAAAACTGAGTTTTTGTGACTAGTTGTTTAATAGTAATTTCAGTGGTGCTGACAGGAAAATTTCAACAGCCAAGGATCAAAGTGTGCTATTGCTACATGTCAATGAGGCTTTAGGTATTTCCCTTTCCTACCCAGTTTGAAGGGCAAATAAAGGTTCATAATACATCCTTTAAATAACAAACAATTGAAATGGATTAGGCTGAAAGTAGCAGCATGCCCTAGCTGACAAAACTGTCTCTTGTGCTGGTCAGAGACTGGACCCTAACAGTGTGATCCTGAACTTAGTCACCCTTGTAAATCCACTGAAGTCAGCACCATAGCTAGATGATCTTCATTGGGGCACGGTGCACAGCAGGCATGACATCACTTCTGACATCACAAAATAATAAAAATAAAAGAGGGAGAGAAGCCACCATGGCAGAGCCCAGCCACAAGTCTCTCTTGGTCTTTTAAAAATTTCTCTACAAACAAAATCCCTCTAAAATTCTTCTACAAGGGTTGTCTCCTCCTCTGCCCCTTTATATCATGAGAAGAACTCTCAAGTGAATGCTGGGAGTTGTAGTCCTCCCGAGAGCACTGTATGCTAGCAGTGGACAGCATGGTCTCCTTGGTTGGGACTACATTGCCCAGGCTAGGTTAGTACTGATGGTGAGTGCACGGAGAGTTTTAGAGATAAGTCCTGTGTTGTGCCCCATTTTTGATCCTTTAGGGGTGTACTCACTGGCTATGAGGGGCGTCTGCTGAGGAATGGGAGAAATGGTGTTGGATCATGTGGAGGGATTTCCCTCCCAAGCAATCTTGGTGCCCATGGGGCCCCCAATGCCCCTGCCAATGGGTCCAGGTTCCAGCAGGCCCCAGTGTGCTCTTTGGCCTTGGGCCCTGAGCCCCATCCCACCCACCCCTTACCACCCTTGAGGGTCTGCGTCAGGCAGATTGCCTCCACCGCTGGCTCAATCTTGCCACAGCCCAGCCCTGCACCACTTTCTGCCCAGAGCTCTTCCCATGGAGGCTGGCCCAGGGGAGTCACTGCAATTCTGTGTGCTTTAAATCTTGACTTCCCTGCCCATGCCAGGAAAGACCCCCGGCCCTGGTCTCCTGGGGGAAGAAGTGTTCGGCCTGTCTGGCTGGCAAGAAAGGCAGGGCAGGCTCTAAGATTCAGTGGGGGGGGCGTTAAAAGTCAGGAGAAGGCATCACCCCATACACTCCTCATTAGCTATGGCCCTGACTGAAGTCGGTGGGCTTGGAAGAATATAACTCTGCTTATGACTGCACTTAGTCTCTCACATTAAAAACTATCCAACAGTGAGAGAAGCAAGATGTGCTGCTGTGATCACATTTGGGGCTCGGGTGGAGCTGCCTCAGGGTGGAAGCTGAAGGACAACCAACTGTTGCGTGAAGACAGAAACTCTCAATATTTGGCTTCCTTGTATGGGGCAATCAGGATGCTTAGAGACAAAGGGAAGGAAAGACACATCCTGTGAAGAAACTAGTGAAGCAGGCATGGTAGCGTACTGCCAACTCTGATACAGTTCAGAACTAGGGATGCCAGCCTCCAGGTGGCACCTGGGGATCCCCTGAAATTACAGAACATCTCCCAACTATAGAGATCAGTTCCCCTGCAGAAAATGGCTGCTTTGGTGGGTAGACTACATGGCATTGTACCCCAAAGAGGTCCCTGTAATCCCTAGAATCCATCCCCAAATCTCCAGGAGTTTCTCAACCCTGGCCACCCTACCCCCCTATCCCGTGCTGGTGGCCGGGGGGGGGGGCTGGGAATCCTTTAAAAAACTGAGTTGTTTATGGGGACATACATCCCCAGTTTTCTACCTAGCTTTTTAAAAATAGCATCATCTAGCCCACTAGTGTGTACCAGATGAACAACTGAGTGAAGTCGGCTTCCAAAGCAACTGAGGTATTTGGGCTCTTCATGTTAAGAGCTGAAGATTAATCAGGACCCGTCCTAGTAATGTGGAGTAGGGAAGCAAAAATATACCCAAAAAACACCTTATTGGTATTTTCAGATATATTTTGGCTTTCCAAATGTATCTAGGTTTTCTTGGGGAAACTGGAAAAAAAATCCCCCCAAAATCCCTTGATATTTTTGGGAATTATTGGTATATCAAATAACAGAGCAGAAGCAGGAGCAGATTGCTGTTGCCTCTCAGCTGTTTGTCAGGTTTCTACTACAGTCCCTTTAAAGAAGACAGCCCAAGGATCAGGATGGGTTGTGCCAGGAGGAGCAGACTGTTCTCACCAGCTTAGCTTGGGGCTGGCTTCTTGTGCAGCCTGGTTTAAACCAAGCTGTAGGAGAAACCATCCCAGCCAGAATCTGTGTGCCTTGGGGAGCGATCTGCCTATGGCATGCAGATCCAGGAGCTGGCTCCTCATGCATCCTGGTTTAAACTGGACTGCAGGAGAAGCTGTCCCAGCCAGGATATACGGTATGTCCCTCAGGGAGTGATCTCCCAGAGCCATGCAGATCCTGGGTCTAGCTCCTTCTGTAGCATGGTTTAAACTGTGCTGCAGGTGAAGCTGTCCCAGTCAGGATCTGCGTGCCTCAGAGAGAGATCTCCCGGAGGCACACAGATCCTGGATCTGGCTCCTTCTGCAGCATAATTTAAAGCACGCTGCAGGAGAAGGCATCCCAGCCAGGATCTGCATGCCTTGGGGAGCAATCTTCCCATGGAACGAAGATCCTGGAGCTGACTTCTCCTGTGGCACCGTTTCAACCACACTGCAGAAGGAGCCAAGCTAGCCCCAGGATCGAGCTGGCTTAAAAAAAAAAATCCAGTATTTTTCTTCTCAGGTCTATTGGACCCCCCCCCCAAAAAAAAAACATGATTTCCAAAAAAATCCCAGATCTGTATACCATATCAGTATTGGGATCTGGGTTTTTCGGAAATACTGAAATTATTTTGGGACCAATAGATCTGAACCAAAAAATACCGAATAAAAAAATGCAGACCTCTGAGGATCCAATTTAAAACACTACCCCATAACAATCTCAAGGATTCTGACCTATCCTGGACAAAGCTTCTATATCCATACATTTTACTTTATTTCCATATAGAACCATGGTGCAGTTGTAACTTATTAATTCAAATAACCCTGAGTTTCTAGTCACATAATAACCAATTAGGGTTTATAACTAATTAATAACCGAACCTTCTTAAAATGTATATTAAAGGCAAACAGATAACAGGCATGTTGGAAGAAGAATACAAATGAATATATTTAACATTTCTTATCTCCACAGTGAAGTCTGTAAGGAAACATATCTATTAAAAATGGATGAACACTAATCAATAGTCTAGAAAAAACATAATTCTTGTACAAAACAGAAAATGACTGTTAGAGAAAGGTTAATTGAAAGTTCATGTCAATAAGATAAATGGCATACTAATAGGTTCCACTCGTACAGCCGATATGTTTTATTAATTAAAACACTGAACAAACTTCAGAGGACGGCGGAAGACAGGAAGGCCTGGCGTGATCTAGTCCATGGGGTCGCGAAGAGTCGGACTCGACTGTGCAACTCAACAACAACAAAAATATCACTGTGATGTAAAAAAAACCCTGTTGGATACAAGCTACCTAGAAATCAAACACTAACCCTAAGATTTTCAAGAGAGCAAGCTGATGAGCATCATTAAGAAACCAGCCAATGTGTTCTAGGAGACTTTTTCTATACCTATTCTCTCTTCAAATGCAATGCATGTTCTACCTATCTGATAAACATTCTGTTATGCAACAATAGTTAAGTAACATATCTGTCCTGACCAATTGTTATTTTTCCTGCCCCCTGTGCCTTTAGTGATTAATATATAGAACTTTATTGAAATAATAAGACTTTTGTTTGTTTAAAATATTTAAAATGTGCCCTGTAAGTAAAATTTATATACACCAGTCTAACTCTAGCCATACTTTAAAATGGTGGTTAGTGTATTAGTGGCTCCAGAATGTTTTTGGAATATGTATCCTCCTGAAAGCCAGTACAGGAACAATACAGACCCATCTATGTTAGTCATAGGGTAATTGATAGAAGGTTAGGATAAGAATTACAGACCCAGATTGAATGCTTACTGAGGGATGCCTCTAATTATCACTTAAGAACACAAGAACATGTGAAGAGTCCCGCTGAATATGACCTATACTTTACTCATTTCACAAAATTTTTGTTTAGATTATATAATAGAGCACCGAGTAATGTACCAGTGATCCAACTTCATGAACAATCTCAAGGAAATTTTTTAGAGTTTTGACTTAAAACTTTCGAATCACGGAGTTCAAAAGGACATAAATGTGTCCCTGATGCTTAAGTACATGTTTCAAGAGACTGCTAAAAGAAAATGAGTTTCCCTTACATGTATTATAGTATTGTCAAAATAGTATGTCTTAAGAAATCTAAATGTCCTAAATCTAGAATAGACTAATTTGTTTTTCTTGCTGCAAATAATGGGCCCGCTATTTACATATAGTGAATCTGAAACTGTGATAATAATTTCCAGAAATTCTCTCATCTTTACTAAATTTTCATCCATTTTTCTTCATATAATACTACAGATGCTGATGTCTTTCTATCTTCAGGTGCATAATGGTTTGCTTTAAGTTGTATCATAATTTCAAGTCATGAAAACAACATGTAAGTAGATAAAGAAATATAGATATAATGAAGAAAAATTATTAAAAGAAAAAAATTTCAATTAGCAAACCAGCATCTTTCATGTCAAACTATTAAATTCCTATATTAAAAATCTGGATCCATGCAAATCAAAAACTGGAATGTTCTAATTTTAGCAGACACACAAAATGCTTAATCAGGCACCTCAGATATCCATTTGTAATACAGGTACTTTAAAAACCTTTGATAGTAAGATTTGTGTTAAATATGTTTAATAAGGCTTATTTTAAAGCAGTAACACCATTTCACAAAAATAACATAAGATCTGCATACATAATTATGGTTTATTACTTACCGTAGAAGAGACGATAGGGTAACACCTCCACATATGCATTGTTGAGATCCAGAGAATTAATATAACATTTAGCCTGAAGAGACTGCAAGAAAAACTTGTATTAATTTTCTATTAGTTTTTATCCAATTCTACTTTTTGAAAGAAAAATGGCTAATATATTTACCTGATCATTTCTGGGGGTTTTTAACTTGCAATTGTAAATGGAATTACACAGTTATAGAACAACATTCCTTATCTTTCTCACAAGTTATTCCCTAAATGACCATTTTATACCAAGAGTTCAGGAACAAAAATGTCACCAAATCACATTTAAGTATGACTAATTGGTTGCTGGTTGGCTTTTATTCTTGCTAAGTGAAAAAATGGCAAGGACGCATCCTTGTTGCCCGCACAGAACTACTCAAGTGACTGAACTGAAAAGGTTGCCATTAAAAGGCCTTTAAAAGCGTTCACATCCAGCCAGGATTTCTCTGTGATACAAATTGTCAAAAGTCTAATGTTAAAGTACATCAACATGCACTGCCTTGTGGGAGGGGGGGAACCTAGGTCATTTCCATTTATTCTATTAGATATAGAGAAACAAGTTTATTTTACATAGTCTGATTTAATTTACGGTTTGTATTTTTGTTTTCTCATTGATGCTCATTCACTAGCCATCACATACAGTACTAAATCTACTCAAACTCTAGGTCTGCTATGAATTATGAATACTTTCTTGGTCTCATCTTTGACAAGTGTTTAAATAGGTTCTACGTTAAAGCAGATTTATCGTCTGGTTTTGAAGGAGTTTAAATATGCATTGAACAAAAGATTTTAAAAATGGGCATCGTTCAGTGAAGCCTCCTCTTTTATGACCCTGCAAAACTTTTCTGGCCATGCCATGCTCAACATATTTAAAATGGAGGCAATGGTTCCTCTAGTAGTATTTCTAGTAATTTTTAAAAATTAGTTTCAGAAGCTTTCACTTCCATGTATTTTTCGTAGGGCCAAACAAGAAGTGACAGCGTCCACAGGGTTAGACCCATGAATAATGATGCCATTTTAAAATGCTTTAAAAATGTTGCAAGTGTCTGATCCTGACTGGGCCCATAGCACAACTGGCTGAGGTGCTCTTGTACCCCCCAAACACACACACCTTTTCGTATTCTGAAACAACTGCACCCCCACAGCTGTTTCAGCACTTAAAAATGCATGGGGGGGACAAGAGCACCTCAGCCAGCTGTGCTGTGGGCCCAGTCAGGATCAGTCCCTCACGGCATTTAAATTACTTTAAAATGGTAGCGGCATCCACAGCTTGGACCCTTGGATAGCATCTCATCTAGTCTGGCCCATAGACAATCCAAATTTTATTGCTCTGTGTGTAAACTGCTTGACAGTATGACAGTTTAATTGACTGACAATTCCTATGCCTACGAGAACCCGCAGGAAAAAGACAAGAGGCCTCTTGCTTAAGGGGACAGAATCAACAACAAGCATCTGCTTTCTCATGTAGCCATCTTATATAGATTGCCAGCCACTTGGCAACCAGTGGCAGGCACAGGGCAAGGACATGGAAAGTGCCATTATCCCACCGGTTTTATGTCACTTCTGAGTAAAATCCAGAAGTAACATCATGCCACTCTAGGAATAGTTGAAAACTCTATTATACACGCCCAATACAAAGGAACAGATTATGTTTTTCGATTCTGTATGCTTCATGCCAGGGCCGTAGTCAGTGGTGGGGCTTTAGGGGGCAAAGCCCCATATCAATTAAGGCAGAGCCCCACCACAGCTCAAGCTCTCCCTCCCCTCCCCTCCCGGGATGAAGAAAAATTATTAAAAGAAAAAAACAAGGGGGGGCTTGCCAGGGCTCTCTGCAGCCACAGGGTGCCCGGGCAAGCCAAGGGGCAGGGGTGTGGCCTAATATGCTAATGAATTTCTACTGTTGGGTGTGGCCTATAATGCTAATGAGTTCCTGCTGGGCTTTTTCTACAAAAAAAGCCCTGCCTTTATGGTCTGGAGCCTTTCCAGCTATATACAGATCATAAACTTCTGGTACCACTGATAAATTGCAAAGACTTGAATTGGGAACCAAGACGTCAAGATTGGATTTATACCCCGCCCTTCACTTGGAGTCTCAGAGCGGCTTACAAACTCCTTTCTCCACCCCTCCCCACAACAGACACCCTGTGAGGTGGGTGGGGCTGAGAGAACTCTGGCACAAACTGCTCTTTCAGGAACAGCTGTGCCAGAGCTTGTGACTGACCCAAGGTCACATCAGCAGGTGCAAGTGGAGGAGTGGGGAATCAAACCGGGTTCTCCCAGATTAGAGTCTGCACACTTAACCACTACACCAAATTCAAGCAGAATATAGACCAGATAAGACACTGTGGTAGCAGACACGATCAAGACATCTGCTGAAAACTGCAGACCTGGAATCAGTTCAACTTTAGAGGAAGTTTGTACTTATGCAACCATATTACAAGCCTCAGACCCAATTTCAGATTCACTGCTTGCAAATTCTTGCTGTTTCTGAACTAGAGCTCCAGAAAGTACTGAAATTTGTGAGAAAAGGGTGGCAATCATATATTAGCAACATACCATCTGAGGTCAAATAATTCTTTGTAAAATGAGGGATACTTACTGAGTCAAAGGGCTTAATCCTTCGTGACAGTTATTAATCAATTACCAAATGCAAAAAAACCCCTTTGCAAGGCCACAATTTAAGACAAGACCTTAAAGCACAGATAAAGAACTGGGAATCCTGCCAGAAGAACAAATTCAGTTTTGTGTTGTGTGTGTTATGTTTTTTATTGAATTATTGTATGTGTACTTTATTTTAAATGTTGTTTTAATGTTGAAATATTTTAATGTGTTGATGTTTGCCACCTTGGGTACCCTGTTAATGTAATGTTATTTATAGTCCGCCTTTCTCTCAGAGAGTCGAGGATTACACAGAGTAAGTGACTGTGTGTGTGTGTGAGTGTGTTCAATCACTTCTAATTATGGTGACCCTATGAATTACTGTACTCCAAACATCCTATTGTTGACAGCCTTGCTCCGGTCTTGCAGACTGAGGGCCCTCATGGTTTCCTTTATAGAGTCAGTCCATCTCATGTTGGGTCTTCCTCTTCAATAAACAATGCATAAGGATTATAGAAGTCTGGAACCAACCAGAAAGAACTGAAGTAAAGTTCAAGTAGTGCAAAAATTACATAATAGGATTCTACTTAAAGTGAACTATATATAGCAGTATAGACTGCAGTCTCTAATCATTTATCCAAGGAAGCTTACAAAACATTTTATGCATTGCAGCCTTATTACTTTTGCATAAAAGCCCTCTTGAACAATCCACTTCTGCATAGTTTTCAGAAAGCCAGGACAGTGGGAGGCTTCTTTGGGCTGGCCATAAGGTTGGAGACAACAAAGAAAGCACACATACTATTTAAAACAAATGAATAAATAACATCTTTTCAGTGAAAACAACTGCTGATAGTCACTTCATTACCATATAACCATAGAAAAGAGCTGGACCAGATATTTGTGAAACACGAGGGTAATTGTTGTGGACCAGCCAAGCCCAGCAGAGCAAAGAGATGCTGAAGACTCCTCTGAGGAAGAGGCAGCCAATGGACCTGACCCCAACCCACAGCCAGTGGCAAAGGCACTGCAGGAGGAGGCAGTCACTGGGGGGCCAGACATAGATCCTCAGCCAGAAATCAGTGCACTATCCCCTCAGCCCCCAGCTGGCAACAGAGAGTCAGTTGCTGGTCAGTTCGGTCACCAGAGCCTCAGGAACACCTTAGGAAGAAGATTAGGAGAGGCCTTCACGGCAAAAATTACATAATAGGATTCTACTTAAAGTAAACTATATATAGCAGTATAGACTGCAGTCTCTAATCATTTATCCAAGGAAGCTTACGTGTACTTTATTTTAAATGTTGTTTTAATGTTGAAATATTTTAATGTGTTGATGTTTGCCACCTTGGGTACCCTGTTAATTTAATGTTATTTATGGTCCGCCTTTCTCACAGAGAGTTGAGGATTACACATAGTAAGTGACTGTGTGTGTGTGTGAGTGTGTTCAGTCACTTCTAATCATGGTGACCCTGGCAGTCTCTGGGGGGCCAGACATAGATCCGCAGCCAGAAACCAGTGCACTGTCCCCTCAGCCCCCAGCCCTGAGCTGGCAACAGAGAGTCAGCTGCTGGTCAGTTCAGTCACCAGAGCCTCAGGAACACCATAGGAAGAAGATGAGGAGAGGCCTTCACATATGAATTACTGTACTCCAAACATCCTATTGTTGACAGCCTTGCTCCGGTCTTGCAGACTGAGGGCCCTCATGGTTTCCTTTATAGAGTCAGTCCATCTCATGTTGGGTCTTCCTCTTCAATAAACAATGCATAAGGATTATAGAAGTCTGGAACCAACCAGAAAGAACTGAAGTAAAGTTCAAGTAGTGCAAAAATTACATAATAGGATTCTACTTAAAGTGAACTATATATAGCAGTATAGACTGCAGTCTCTAATCATTTATCCAAGGAAGCTTACAAAACATTTTATGCATTGCAGCCTTATTACTTTTGCATAAAAGCCCTCTTGAACAATCCACTTCTGCATAGTTTTCAGAAAGCCAGGACAGTGGGAGGCTTCTTTGGGCTGGCCATAAGGTTGGAGACAACAAAGAAAGCACACATACTATTTAAAACAAATGAATAAATAACATCTTTTCAGTGAAAACAACTGCTGATAGTCACTTCATTACCATATAACCATAGAAAAGAGCTGGACCAGATATTTGTGAAACACGAGGGTAATTGTTGTGGACCAGCCAAGCCCAGCAGAGCAAAGAGATGCTGAAGACTCCTCTGAAGAAGAGGCAGCCAGTGGACCTGACCCCAACCCACAGCCAGTGGCAAAGGCGCTGCTGGAGGAGGCAGTCTCTGGGGGGCCAGACATAGATCCGCAGCCAGAAACCAGTGCACTGTCCCCTCAGCCCCCAGCCCTGAGCTGGCAACAGAGAGTCAGCTGCTGGTCAGTTCAGTCACCAGAGCCTCAGGAACACCATAGGAAGAAGATGAGGAGAGGCCTTCACAGCAAAAGGCACAGTGCCCACCTGGCAGCACAGAACCGTCCCAGCACCAACAGTGAGGATGTGTGCTGAGCAAGGCTGAGGCAGCCAGCAGGTGCAT